AGAATGGCAGCGGCAGGAGCGGGGCTGCCAGCAGACAGGGGACCAGGGGCCATAGCAGGAGGGGACAGGCAGGGGCGCGGAGGGTGGGCCAAGACCCGCCCCTGTGCCCATCACAGCCTTGTGGCCCATAGTTCCTTTCAAGGTGCACAAATTCGTGCACTGGGCCCCTAGTATGTATATAAGATCTTTAGTTAATCTTCCCACCCTCCCACCACCCCCCTTCCCTCTGAGATTCATCAGTCTGTTCCATGTCTCCATGCCTGTGCATTGAGCATCTGCCCCCTGGTGGTCAGTGCATGTCATAGCTACCGATCAAATGGTCAAACAATCACTTAGGCTTTTATATATATAGATGGATGTGTATACTACTACTGCTTGAAATATTAACTTCTTACCACAACATTAATAGCTAACATTTATAGTGTTACTAAATGCCACAGAACTTTCTATACATTATCTCATTTAATCTTCACAACTGAACTTTGTATACATTATCTTATTTAATCTTCATTTTAGTCTGGAAGACTGGGACAAGTTCAGTAATTTGCCCAGGATCACAGCTAGTAAGTGACAAACTTAGGATCTGAACCCAAGCTGCCAAACATCAGCCCTCACACTTTTAACCTATCTGCTCTTATATCTACCCACTTCAGAGTCAACTCTTATATACTTTTGGAATAATTCTCTCAAATTAAATAAAATAGTGAGCAAAATAAAACAAAAAATTCAACACAAGAAAATGGCATTTTTCGCAACTAAATATAATTTTTTGGTTCTACAGATCAGTAATTTTCAACTTTGGCTTTGCCACAATCCCATGAGGTAACCAATTAGTTGCATTTTCATTTTATATATATTGACTCAGTGGTTAGTATGCTTAAGGTATAATATTTATAAATCTAAATTATAATTTTATGACCTATAACCTTTTTGCTGAATAAAAGGCATGAGATCCTAAAGATTGCCAGAAAGATACATTTTAAAGGGAAAGAACATGCCAGTAACCTATCAGAAGGAGAAACACAATTTTCAAAGTAATTTTATATCTGCTTTCTGAAAGCAAATGAGTTATTTTATGTGACTATAAATGTGTATCTCTAACTACACAATAGGGAAAAAAAATAGTAATGGAAAAGGCAAAATCACATTTACTAAAGAAAAGCTTCAGAAAATAGATTTTATAAAATACTAGAGGCCCAGTACACTAAATTCATGCACTGGTAGGGTCCCTAGTGGCTGCCAGCTGCCGCCGGGTGCTCCCTCCCTTCCCCTGGCCAGCCCCACCCCCTAGTTGAACTCCCGGAAGAACTCTCGGTCATGGGGATAATTGTATGCTACGCTTTTATTATATAAGATATAAAGACAAGAGATGTAGTAGTACTTTGGTTTAATATTCTAAACAACAAAAAATGAGACATGAATATGAACATGTGAAACAAACAAAAAAATGTGACCATTAAAAAAATGAGAAACTAGACAGAAGGCAAATTGGGGAAAAGGAAGCAAGCAAGAGATGAAAGCCCTAGATAATCTCGGCAATCCAGTTCAAAGCTCAGATCTTGCTGAAACAGCCTCTATAATAATACTCTGGTAGAAGAGAGTATTGTGGCCTCATTCTAGGAAAGAACTGAGACGACTTCCTGAAGATGTACTAGTGGGTGAAATAGATAACTAGTAATAGCAAGTCAGCTGAACCTGTAGACCAGCGGTTCTCAACCTGTGGGTCACGACCCCTTTGGGGGTCGAATGACCCTTTCACAGGGGTCGCCTAAGACCATCGGAAAACACATATATAATTACATATTGTTTTTGTGATTAATCACTATGCTTTAATTATGTTCAATTTGTAACAATGAAAATACATCCTGCATATCAGGTATTTACATTATGATTCATAACAGTAGCAAAATTATAGTTATGAAGTAGCAACAAAAATAATTTTATGGTAGGGGGTCACCACAACATGAGGAACTGTATTAAAGGGTCTCGGCATTAGGAAGGTTGAGAACCACTGCTGTAGACCAACATATTATGGCCTCTATCTCTCCACTAAAGTCTTTCTTCTAACCATTCTAGATGACAGGAATCTGACACTCCTTGTAGGTTACACTACTCAGTTCAGCATTTATTTGGATTCTGTTAAGTGTTTCATATGCATATATCTTCCCAACTAGATCATTAACTTTTGGAGAGCAGAAACTACCCCATTTATTTTAGTTTCACCCATATAACCCAGCACAGTGCTATGCTTGAATCTTGAAAAATCACAACATACAATTAGACCATTAAAGTTTGAGGAAATCTTAGACTTATGTAGTCTGGACTCTGTATATTAAAAGCAAAGACACTAAAAGTAGTTAAATGTCCACTAGCCTCAAGTCAGAGCTGGGATTTGCACCCTAATCAGTTCATCCTTTCACAAATAGCCTCTAATTTCCTCCACTGTGATAAAATAATCACCTATTTAGTCAGAAAACAAAGTAACAGCACCAGTATGTCAAGACCTTTAGTAGATTTGATTGGCAGCCTATGTGCCTAAGTCTCTGAAGACTGCTTTATACACATTATTCTATTTTATACTCACAAGAACTCTAAGAGATAGGTATTATTAACCCAATTTTTAAAATGCAGAAAAAGTGCTCAACCAGCATGGCTCAGTGGTTGAGCATCTCCCTATGAAACAGGAGGTCACGGCTGGATACCCGGTCAGGGCACATGTCCAGGTTTCCGGCTTGATCCCCAGTGGGGGGGCGTGCAGGAGGCAGCCGATCAATGATTCTCTCTCATCATTGATATTTCTCTCTCTCTCTCCCTCTCCCTTCCTCTCTAAAATCAATAAAAAAAAATTTTTTTAAGGGAAAAAAATTCCTTGGCAACATTTTCAATCCATCATCTGAAAATTACTTTGTCTACTTCCTGATATATTTTCAGGGCCTTGATATATTCTCCAATCCCAGAAAATGTTACCACGTTGATTAAAAAACAAACAACAAAAACATAAAAAAGGTATAGTCTTACTGTTCAGTTCTATCTGTCGGAAACCCAGAGTAGCCTTTTCTATTGCGACTGACCCAGGTATATTCCTAAGGAACTGTCCCGTCTCTTTTTGATTAATCAAAGTAATGAATACGAGCCTAGTTGAGTATTCATATATGACATGGTTAAGTGCTTGTCTTTATTCACACCTTCCTAAATAACATGCTACCGATCAAAACCCAGAAATACAGAAAAGCCTTCTAAGGCAGAGTAGCTGGGTACAGACTTCTATGTTCACCCGACTACAACGCAAAGATGATCTTCATCCTTTAACCGCATGAAAACTACAGGGTCTCTTCCGGAAGCTTCGCCGCTGCCCATCCACACATCACTGCGGGTCGTGAAAAACAAGAATGCATCAAGAACTGCTGCCACGCCTGGACTAGCACTCGCTCGGCGACCCACTCAGAGGTAAACAAGTGCAGAATGTGGCTGACCCTGGAGCGGGGGCACTGTTTACTTACAGGGGAGGATACTCCTGTGATGGGTAACGTGTTGCACTGTCCTCCCCTGGCTCCAAAACAAAAAAATAAAAATATAAAAATGGTACCCTGACGAGCTCATGGGAGCGTGGGTCCATTCCCAAAAGTTTTGACCTCCCTTTTTAATTGCTTAAGGACAAATGCTCAAATAGAACACCCGATACAAGGTGCTGCTTATATGAGGTGCTGCTTGCAGCATAACGTGGAAGGACATCACTTTGTCCAAGAAACTGTGTTCTTCCTCTATACTCCCCCGCCCCCCATACACACACACACACACACAGCCACATGGGAGGAACTGACAGCGTCATGCACTCGGGCGCAGGGAAAGAAGAAATCAAAACTAAAGGCGCTTCCTCCTCGCCGGAGAAGCTTGGGGCACGACTGGGGGCTTCAGGTGCGGTTCCGAACCAGCACCATGGCCCCTCCCCC